CAACCCTCAACCCTCATCCCTAAACCGAATCACCGGACGGGATAGGGCCCAGGCTTCATTGCCCTAAGCCTTCAGCCCTGAACCGAAAGCCCGAAACGCTAATGGACCATGAACCGCCTTACCTAAACCCCCAAAAGTAAGAAAAATCATGGCCCAAAACTCATAAAAGGCTATAATTCCACATATTTTTGGGGTCCCGGTAAACCCTCAACCTGGCGTGGCTGTGCGAAGGGCAACCCAATACTCCTTCAGGAGGAGGCGCTTCGAAAGCAGCGCCGGGAGGAAGCGCGGTCGTTGCGGAGGCTGCAGCAGGCCTTTTATGGGCTTAGGTGCGGCTTGGTGGGTTCGTGAGTTTGCTGTTTGAGTTGTATAGTTGAGGTACCCTAAACCCTAAGTTTAGGCCTTTGGGTTTAGGATCCAGGGCTTGCCGTTTAAGGTTCAAACGCCAAAGCCTGCCGTGCAATCTGAAGCTAGGGTTTGTATAGGGTTTACAGCATCCGGTTTACAGCCTCCACACCCCCCAAGCCCTGAAGCCCAAATCCCGAGGACTCTTCAAGCACTTAGGCCTGCGAAACCCGAGAATCCGCAACCACATCCTATGATCCCCGCAGGTTCAACAAGTAGCCACAACAGTGGGTTTACAGCATCGGGGGAAGGGTGCAGGGGTTCAGGGGTTTAGGGTTCAAGAGTCAGGGTAACGGCTGGGGTTTGGGATTTAGGGGCTTTGAACCACGTGGTTCTGGGCTGATTCTGTCCACGTTGGCAGGCTGGTGAACGGCATGTGAAACCCTTCAGAAAGGGTGGGGAGACACCAGCAGAGATAGTCTGCTAGTCCTTGCACAGATACAATCTGCAGAAGTGATTGTCATGAACCTCTGCAGGAGGAGCGTCGTGCACTGGAAAAGGCCCTGGAGGGCCAGCACGAGGTGGGAGCCCAAAGCCCAAAGACCCCATTCGACATTGGAGGTAAAAGGATCTTAAGCAAATCGCACAGGGCCTTTAGCGAAATCGGCCTGGAACTCTTGAGCCCTAAACACTACACCCAAGCTAAACCCAAACCCTCAGCGCTAAACCCTGTCTTAAACAAACACACTAAACCACAAAACCTAGACCCGAACCGAGTTTCGGGGAGTGCTGGGTTCGTGATTTCGGGCAGAGCCCTGCCTTCATGTACGGGCCATGCCGTACAATAGAGGGGCCTCAATAATTACCTATATTATTTTTGGGGGTCCTTGTTATAGTTGCACCACAAAGGACGCCCAAATCCTACTCTAATTATCAAGGCCCCTATATTAGACCTCGAAGTTGGGCTCAAAGCCTAACCCTCTCTTACAGACTGGAACGGCATCTAAGCAAGGCCGGAATTCTAACAACCCTAGAGCCGGTAGGGTGTCAACGGTTTAGGGTTTAGGGTTTAGGGTTTGGGGTTTAGGGTTTAGGGTTTAGGGCTTAGGGTTTAGGGTTTAGGGTTCATTCTGACCCTACTTCTCACGCACATCCTCATATTCAAGTTGCAGCCCCCCTCCCCACAAGCTTCTGGGACAGCACGAGTCTAGTCTTCAGGGGCCATGATCATGACAAAAAATACCGAAGATGGTGGGTGATGATGAAGAGGGATCGGAATCAAACTGTCGATCGTGTTCCGCAGCCGCAGGTCGAAACAGCACCCTCTCGCGAAGGGAAGCACGAAGCGGAAGCCCTGAAGCCGGACTTTGCGGCACGTGGCCCGGCGTGATTTGAGTCCTGGGGAAAGTGGGTTGGGATTCTGGGTTCAGCTGTGAGTCAAAGTGACCTGCAGCACAGGGCTCCACAGTGCCCCAAACTAGTCCATGATACCCTCTGCATCTCCATCTAAGCCCTATAAACACTACACCGTTCTAGCAAAGGCCTTGGAAGAATGGTGAAACGCGCGTTTTCCAAACTCTCGGCCTCACCCGACAACGGATGTGGTTGAACGTTTGTAAACGCAAAATACAGCCACTCTAAAGCCTGAACCCTGAGTCCTCAACCTATGCAACTTCTGGAGACAGAGGGTGCAGACGCAAGAAGGGACTAGGTTTAGAGTTTAGGGTTTAGAGTTTAGGGCTTAGGATTTAGAGTTTAGGCTTTAGGGTTTAGAGTTTAGAGCTTAGGGTTTAGAGTTGAGGTTATGGTCTACGCTGTAACCCTTAACCTTAAACCAGAGTGCTCTTAAGCAGCCACTAGTCCCACGTCCTACGCTCAAAGCCGTAAGAGTTATAGATATACTGACTTTTGGGGTTCGGTTATTCTAGGCGCAGTAGTTTTAGTCGAAAATGAGTCCCAACACCCTATTCTCATTCGTATGCCCCCTATATAATGTAGGGGCATAAATAAATACCTTTTTGTATTTTGGGGGTTCCCTATCATATTCATAGTATAATATACCCCAAAACCCAATTCTATTTGTTAAGGTCCCGACATCAGGCTCTCAACACGCGACGCCCTGGGCTCTTGTCTCCCCCAGCTCCAAACTCGTAAGCCCCAAATTCCAACAAAATAGAAGCATAAATAATTACCAATATAATTCCTTAGGGTTCCTCATTATGTTTATACTACAAAGGAGCCCAACACCCTATTCCAATTATTAAGGCCCCTGCATTCTATTTCTGGCGTTTGGGGTTTAGGATTTAAGGTCTCAGGTGTAGTCTGGGGTTTTGGGGTTCAGGGTTTAGGGTTTAGGGTAGAGTGTCCTCACCTCCCAGAGGCTTTCTAGGCAAACCCGACGAAAATCTCCGGTTTCGTCGGCTGAACCCCTAAACCAGGTGATCCCAACATGCTCAACTGGTTTTTGGACTATGCGGAGGGCCCCTTGGCTGATCCGAGACTCTCCAGTACCCTTATCGGGGTGTTCCTCAGGAGCTGTTTTGTTGGTTTTGGTTATATAAACCTAAGGGTCCTTGCTGCATATTTATCTGAGTGTAGGGCATGAAGGCGCATAGAATCGTTGTGGGGCCTCTTTCTTGAAACTGACTCTTCATGTCGGGGATACCTGGGGAACCAGGGACCCATTGTTTCATGCTGGTATGATAGCGGCCGCTATCATTGCTGCCATGCCTACCTACCTACCTACCTACCTACCTACCTACCTGCCTACCTACCGACCGACCGACCGACCGACCGACCGACCGACCGACCCACCCACCCACCGACCGACCGACCCACCGACCGACCGACCGACCGACCTACCGACCGACCGAC